GCGTGCACGCAAGCGCGCACGTGTGTGCGTGCGTGTAAGTGTTGTGTGTGTGTGCGCGCGCGAGCGCGTGTGGAGTTGGGTGCGCGCCAGCGCGCTTGCACAACATCGCTGCGACACCTGCAAGTCTCCAGCGCAGGCTGTTGTCGGTCCACTGCAGGTTGTGACAACACAGGTGCCCCTGCGGGTTAACCACCTTAGTGCGTGTGCCCCCCTCCGCCGAACTCGCCGCAACGTGCACGTGTTCAAACACACGTCTTACATGACACATACGATATCTGCAAATCAACAAAAGAACTTGGTGCCGCGGCCTGGCCCGCCGCACCTGCTGGTGGAGGTGCCTCGACTGCACCGCCAGCTGCCTGTGCGCGTCGGCCAGGCTCTTCTTGAGCCCGTCCACCTGCCGCAGCGCAGTTGGCGCACGCGCGGCCACGGCCCGTCGCGCGCATGAGCACAAAGAATCGCATGCGCCCACTGCGCTGCACGCCGGCAGCGGGATTCGGGCGGCCCATCAGGGCGGCGGCACCGGGGGAAAGCAGGGTCGGGTGGAGCGGCACACGCCCATTGGCATTCATTAACCGCGCCCACCTGCTGCGTGGCGTCCCCGAAGAGCTGCAGGATGCGGCTGTAGTTTTGGATGGAGCGCGCAAACCCGGAGTGGTAGCCGGTGGCAAGCGCGTCGACGAGCGACATGAGGCGCGCCTCGTGCGCCCGCAGCTGCGGGGCGGCCGCAGTGCAGGCGTCAGGGTGTCGGACGGGAGGGTGCGGCGTGCAGCGTTGGCAAGGGGTTGCGCGCGTGCGCGCGGGCAGCATCATCTCAAGTGTTGTGCCGAGGCCCCGGTGCGACTTCCTCAGCCGGGTGTGACGGCTGGCCGGCCTGCACAGCCCACCTCCTCCACCATCGCCTGGGGTTGATTCGAGCTGAGGATTTCCACCACATGCTTGAGCGCGTAAAACTTTGGATCTGTGAAATCTTGCCCGATCGCCGCCAGCTGGTCGCCCACATCCTTCCATATGTGTTCCCATTCCTCGGATTTGGCCATTTTTGCTGCGAGGTCGTCGGCCCAGATCACAACAGCTCGAGCCTCATTGTTGCTGGAAGCTCCCAAATGCGCATGCTTTCTACACTCTCATCATACTAACCAATGAGCGCGTGCCTGACGACAAAAAGGCGCCACCTTTCGTCACCAGCCCCCTGTGCGTCACATGCACCCCGCAAATGCACCCCTGGCCCCCACTGCCAAGTTGACGGCCCATGTACAGGACGTGAGACTGAACGCGGCTTACAAGTGCGAGACACGAAAACGGCTGACAGAGGCAAGTGCACAGCAGCGCCAAGTGCTATACATCAAGGCGAAGATGTTTGAAGTGCATGCGCACCTGCCTATCTGTTGTGACTCGAGGGAAGGACAACGCCGTGCCGCCAGGGGAACTGGGATGACGCAGGGCACAAGCGGTACATGCATGCATGCAACTGCTGGCCGCGCTGAACAGGATAGAAATGACAGCGAATACGATCACAAAGCGTGTAGGGCGCAGGCATGCTATTCAATATCGGCATACGGCATCAGCAGCGGAAAACAGAGGGGCATCACGGCCAAAAAGGGGTCAAGGGTGGTGGCTGAGTGCTGCATGGGCTGCATGACCCAAAATGCGCACTCAGCGGGGCGCTGCAGAAGGCGCGCCCGTCGGAAGCGCTGCAGCTAAACGTGGGCACAGCTGGCGGCCTACGCCACAGCCTGCCTGAGGGTGGAGGCACCCCCCAACGAGAGCCGAAAGGGTTGATACAAGGTGCGAGCTGTATGAAAGCTACACATACACGACAGCCACGAGCTGCAGATGACGTCAGCGCTGCGGCCTGGTGCATGCAAGAACACCGATGCGCAACGGAGGGTGTGGGTGCACACACCGCAAAGGCACCAAAGGCCCAACTGATGCAGTAAAATGTGATCAACCTGCCGAGGCAGCTGCCGAGACTGGACACCTGGCGTGCCGTTGCAGAGCGTGTGAAGGGGTATAGGGCAAGAGAGAGCCCCTGCTCAGAAGCTATTGAGCCCTGTGCAGGCGCGTAAATGAAAGGTGCCGTGGAATGGGGCTGGCTGGGCTTCCGAGCCTGCCCCAATCACCAATGCGGCTGGCACATCAAACGTAGGGGCAGGCGCGTTGCACATGAACAGACACCTCGCAGCAGAAAGAACCAGAGAGAGCTCGCAGCTCTGGGCAGCAACCGAGCTAGCGACATAGGAAGGATGATGAGTGTGTGCACCTCACGGCAGGCCTCAAGGGGGAGGTGCGCAGCACGCGCGATCCGAGCCGCCGCCGGGATGGGCTGCGACAGCGTGCGCGCGCGCGGCGTTGCGGCTGCAAGCGGCCGCCTCCGCCTCTGGAAACCCTGCACCCCCCCTTCTGAGCTGGCGGGGGGCACGATGGGGCCACCCTATTGCAGCCCCAACGGCGACCCTGCACACTTTCTGTAAACCATCGCCTCACCGGATCACGAGCATATCAGACAGCGCATTACGCAGCTTCCGTCCAAGGCTGACGCCGCCACCACCTCGCACATTGCTCGCGCCGCCCGCCGCAGCTGCCCCTGCCCCCTCAGGCTGCTGCTGCTGCTGCTGCGGCAGTGCGCCGGTTGAAAAGCCGCGAGCCACGGCTGCATCCTCCGCCTCGGAGCGGGGCGAAGGGCTGCTATTCGTGCTGGCCCCGCCGCTGGTGCTGGCCCGCGGCGCACGCACGCGCGGCGGGCAGGGGCACAGGCCGTGCGCGCGCGCACCACCGGGCGCCGCGACCTGCGCCCTGTCGCCGCCCGAGCCGGCGGGTGCGGTGGTGCCGTCGCCGCTGGGGCCGCCGACGCCGGCCTCGGGGCCGCCCAGGGAGCTGCGGCGCGCGGCGCTAACGGCGGCGCAGTGGACTGCCGCGTCGTACGCCCCCGGGCCCGACAGCGTCAGCAGCGAGCCTGCGCGTCCGCCACGTCAGCGGCGCAAAAGGTCAGAAACGAGGCGCGCACATGGGCCCGCTGCGGCGCCACTCAAATACACCCTCCGTGCAAATGATGAGTGCTTGCCGTACAACACGTGTCCAAGCGACCCTGTAGCCACTCAAGCATCCTTGTGACGCCAGCCCGCCTCCTTTCCGTCCTCCCCCTCCTGCGCCCTTCCATGATCAAGAGCAAGCCCCACCTGAGCTGGGCTCGTCGCACGTGAACGTTATGTTGAGCTCGCTGTCATCTGGAAGGTGGAAGGCCTTGCGGATGGCCTGGGTGAACTGCTTGTAGCCCTCGGGGCCGGGCGCGACCTGCGGCCGGGGCGCAGGCGTGTGCGAAGCAATCGCCTGTGGGGCAAGGCGCTCACGGCATGCTGCAGCAACACGCAGCGTTTTCGGTCTTGCAGCCGTTGTGTCGGAGATACACATAAAAAACGACCGCCTTGAACCCCCTGGTGGCGAAAACCACAGGGGTGCCGACACTGCACCCCACAGGGCCGCTGTCACCGCGTCCGACGGGGCGGTGCGGGGCGGTGCAGGGCAGTGCGGGGCGGTACGGTCTGCGCGCGCCCCCAGCCACGCGTCCCCAGTTCACCGTGAAGCTGTACGTCTTATGGTCAAAGTTCACGTTCATGACCGCCGGCGCGCTGGTGGTGTCGCTGTTGGGGGTAAGAACGTCCTTCCAGTCTGGCAGGGCCTCGCGGCAGAAATCGCAGTGCGTCTCGCGCCTGGGGCGCGGGGTCGCGAGGGCGGGAATTCAGGGGGACGGGGAAGGGGACAAGGGGTAAGCGGATGTGGCCTGCGGCTGCCGACGGCATGGGCGAGCAGATGTGCAGGGCAAGTGCTTGGGTGCATCGTTTTGGCCCAGGCCCATGTGTGGCTGTCGGCCTGGACGCGTGCATGTGGTGTGCGACATGAAAACATGGCGTGGGCGGTCGGGGCACGGATCTTGCAAGGCATGGAGCGATGCGACAGCAGCGCTTGGTTTTGTCATGGCACAACCTGCCCTCGTGGCTGCAGCATGCCAAGCTGGACCCCGGCCACACCTGGTCCCAGCTGACTGCAGCTGCCACCGCGCAATGCACCCAGCATGGCACCAGCTCGGGCAGCGGCAGGGGTGCACCAGCGGCCGGTCTGGACCAGGCCCATCCAGGCAGATCCAGCACACAGGGCAGTCGTCGGCCTGTAACGCAGCAGGGGCACCCCGGAAGAGATGAGAACGGGTGGCGACGTCAGCCGTCAGGCAGCGGCGGGCAAGCTGGGCGTATCCCTGCCGCACTGCACGGGCTCATACAAGGGCCAGGCAGGGACAAGCACAAATGCCCCGTGAAGCACGGGTGCACGATCAGCGCCCCCAAGTCGGGTGGACGCGTGGCAGCAGGTGAGCAAGGCCTCCGAGAGTCTAGCCCGTGCGGGAGCTCAAGCACACACCTCCGCCACCACCGTTATCGTGCGAGGTCCCAGGATCCGCTCGTCGCCTGAAGCGGCCTTCCCCATGGCTGGGATGCTGGCGCGATGTTGTCGAAAAATGATCGGCCTTGCAGCAAAGGTGGCGCCTTGATCGCTATGATTATAGAGTCCAAGTGCGAGCGCGTGGCTGATGCCGCTTGCGCACACCACTGTCTCCGCAGTCTGATGTGGCCTTTGGCGAAGTCCCACTTCCTGATGGAAGGAAAGGCCGATCACCGGTTGCAAACACGTAATATCTCTGGGCTGTCTACGCACTGAGCGTCAAGGGAGCGCCTTTGGCGGGGCGGTTCGTAAGGACCCCAGGTGACGGCAGCGATGCGGGCTGCTATGACGCAGAGTGATGGCTCAAAAGGTTTCAATGACACACTCCTAAGCAGAACTCAACCATGGTGTTGGCGCCTCCACCCCCCCGCCTGCACGCAATCGGCCAACCGAAAACAAGCTGCCAATGATGTCGCAATCTGCGACACGCTGATGTGGCTGGCCGCGGTGTTCAAGCGATTGCAGGCGCCGCGGTTGACACAAGGTCTTCAGACTGCTTGTGTCATGCATATCTCTGAGAGGTGGGGGTTGGGTGGGGTCATCTGCAACTGGTTCCCGCCAACCAAAAGGTTTGAATGGAGCCAACCGCCAACTGCGGGCAGTGTCAAACATCTGAGCACGGGGCGCTGCTCGCCCCTGCCGCAGAGTCAGGTGGGGCTGCTGAGCATTGCTTTGGCCACCACAGCGCTTTCTGGCAGCATGCCGCAATCCGGCAGCGGGGGGCTTTCTGGCGCAGGCAGCATCTTTTTGTGAGCAGGCGTGACTGCCCGGGCACGCGGCTCTTCGCAGGCGCCCACATGCATCTCCGTGTTGGAGCCCACCTGCAAAAGAGCAGCGTGTGCTATCAGGACCGCACTATCGACGCGCAGGCCATCAGGCGCAGCCAGAGCCCAGCCTGCGCCCTCACCATGTTCAGGACCTGGGAGGGAGTGGTGTGGGGAAGCACAAGGTCTGCACGCACCAGACCGCTGCTTGGGGCCTGTTTGAGGGTTTCACAGGCAGCCTGGTATGCATTTGCCGTGCATTTCACCAGCAGTCTGCCCGGCACGTTTGGTTTTTGCAGTGCCGATACGCTGAGGCCGGCCGGCCTGGGGTGCTCTGGGTTGCCGTACATGTCGCAAGGGCGGATGAGCGGTTACAAGGCCGCCTGATGTGTGGACCGCCGCCCAACGCGCCCCACATGCAATGCACATGAGTGAGTGTGGTGCAGCACATGAATGCCTGGATGGCGCGCGTCACTGTGCGGGAAGCGAAGCGCATCACGTGAGCGCAAGAAACTGAAGGCTGCTCACCAATGAAATACAGTACGAAGCGCATGCCGGGAGCTGCGTATGACACACTCATACGCAGCTTGGCGCATCAAATCTACTCATCTGTTCATGAAATCGGCGGCGGATGAGGCGCAACATCCGAAGCCCCGTCAGGACGCCGGCGCGACCAAGTGGCTACGCTGCGGCCCCTCCCATTCCTCCCACTCCCCTGCCGCCTCGAGCGTCTGCCGTATCCAGTCCTGCCGCTGCGCCTCCAGGCCGCGGAGGAAGTCATTGAACCGCAGCTGCTGGGAAGGGTGCGGCGCGCAGCTGGGCTCGTCCTCGCTTATCGCAGACAGCGCCGCCGACGCCGCGCGCTCCGTCCCCTTCGGCGAGCCGCCGCACGGCCCCCCGCCGCAAGCGCCGCTGCCGCCGCCGCCGCCCGCGCCCGCCGCGTCGCCACCGCGCCCCTCATCGCCGCCGCCGGCGGCCGCGCCCCCACCAACGCCGGAGCCGCCGCGCCCGCGAGGCTCCCGCTCGGCCGCCGTCGCTGCAAGCGCCGCCAGCGCCGGCCGCGCGGCGCGCCACGCGCGCACCGCTCGCAACAGGTCGAGAAACGACAGCCGCGGCCACAGCACCGGCAGCCACTGCAGCAGCGCGCCCCCAGACTGCCACAGCAGAAAGTCCGAAAGCCGCTCCTCCCCGGACGTCCGTATCACCAGGTCCACCGGCGGACTGCCGCCCGCGCGCGGCGCGCCAGTGTGCAGCGCGGACTGCACCAGCGGCCAGCCGACGTCCCCGGGCAGCAGCTGCCACCCGGCCAGCCCGCGCCGCAGCCGCGCCAGCGCCGCCCCCAGCTCCTCCGTTGACGTGTATGAGAAGCAAACGTTGACCACGCGCCGCGGGACGCCGGGCGGCGCGGACGCGGCGAGGCGGGCGGACGAGCGCATGAGGCGCGCCGCGGCGGCCTGCACGCCTGGGGGTGCGAGGGAGAGGTCTCCCAGCACTCGCAGCTCTGCGCCCCACTCACGCGCGGCCTCGTCCTGTGGGTTTGGGTGGCGGGTGGCGGGTGGCGGGTGGAGTGCGGGCGCGGGGACAGCCGAGGGGCGGTGGGCGCGACGGAGGTCAGTGTGTTTCACTTGCGGCAGAGGGCGGTCGGATCGAGATGGGGTGGAGCAGCAGCAGCAGCGCCGGACTGGCCCCATTCTGGCGCGTGCACACATGTGCTCGCAGCATGGCATGCACGCACGCCCCTTCCATTCCACGCAGCAATCCCCCTCTCAACCAAATTCACATCCGACGCACGCACGCGCGCACGCGCGCACGCGCACACGCGCGTACGCGCACACGCGCGCACTTGCACGCACACACACTCACACACACACACGCACACACACACAAACACACACACACACACACACACACACTAGATTTCACCCGCAACAGAGCATCGAATTTGTCTGCGGCCAGCCGCATGAGGCCCTCCACCTCCCCCGTGTCGCGGCGGAAGTTGTCGATCGAAAACGCGTAGACGCTGACGTGGCAGATGCCCAGCTCGAAGCACCACTTGATGACGTCAACCATCTTGGCATTGGGGAGCGAGGGCCGGTGTGTGGTTGGGTTGTGTGTTTCACAAAGTTGGGGCAATAACGGCTCAAGACCGAGCATGCATTCAAGTCATGCCGCTGCTGATGCAATTGCTTGTCTGATGTGATGGGTGGTGGTGCAAGGGACACCGCACAAGGAATGCATGGTGCGGCGATAGGCGTTGTGAAGCACACGCTTGCGCCCGCTCCTGCTGGCGGACCAGATGCACACAATCAACCTACTCCACAGCAAGCGTCATCGAGCGCGCGCGCGCGCGTGTGTGTGTGTGTGTGTGCGTGTGTGTGTGTGTGTGTGTGTGCGCGCGCGCGCAGCAGCAGCGTTACCTTGGAGTAGCCCGAGGTGTGGCCCTCCAGCAGCTCGACGCCGGCCTCGTCAGCATAGCGCCGGTTGCCGTCCATTATGAACGCCACATGGCCCGGCACCTCCGAGCCGGCGCCCGCCATCAGCAGCTCGAGCAGTCGCCGCACGGGCAGCCACATGGCGGCCAGCGGCGGTGTCGGGGCGGGGTGGGGCGGCCGCCGGGCAGGCAGCAGGCTGTGCCGCTCGCGCTGGCCGGCGCGGGTGCCGGTGGGGCTCCGGCTATGTGCCGCTGGATGCGTGCAGCGGAACGGGCCGCAGCAACGCTAAAGAGCTGAAGACACTCAGGAGGCCTTTGAATTTTAATAGTAGATGAAATTCGGCCTCAAGCGTGCCAGAGCATTCACTCCATGCAGTTCTGAAAGACGATCTGTTCAGTCCTGCTGATTCTGAGCAAAACAGTGCTTGGGCTGTTAGAAACACATTAAGCGCATCAACATGCGCCTGGTGTGCTAGACGTATCCACCCTTCTACGATCTTCTGTACCGTTCGCCACGCGAACGGTCACCGACCTGATCTTTTTGTAGCAATCTGCGCGCTTTCGTGCTGGACCTGGCTTGGGTATCGCTTGGTTATTAGTCAATGTTTATTTGCTAGCGGAACTAAGGCGACACCCACCAGCCTCGTCAACACAAGCCCCACGCCAACGAAGCCAGCCCGCGGGCCGAAGCAGGAGAGGATGCTTCGGCGGCCACATTCGATGCCGCAGCACGGCGCCCCGTGCGTGCTGCGCCACCTCAGCCCGTCCATGGCGCCGCTGCCGCTGCTGCGGCGCGCGCCGCGCTGCCAGCCCGCGCGTGCCGCGCCCAGCCCCGGCGGCGCGGACGGCGCGCAGCCAGTCATGCTCAACTGGCACACCCTGTGGCTGCAAGAAGCCGGCGCCGCGCGGCCCGTCCTGTTTGGCAACAGCTACGTACTCTACCCCTCGTCGCCAGCCTCACCGGCCCCGGCAACCGCCGCCGCGGGCGCCGCCGCCCAGCCCCCGCCCGGCCTCGTCCCCTGGCGCCGCCCCGGCGGCCTTTCTGTCCGCCCCACGCCGCCCGCCGGCGGCGGCCTCGTCAGCGTGCCGCCGCTCGGGCCGGTGGGGCTGGTGGCGCTGCCCGTCGGCGAGACTGGCATAGTGCCCTTCGGCGGCGAGCCCGTTTGCCTAATCGGCGACGGCTACATCGAAGCCGAGGCCGTCGACGCCGAAGTCCTGCCGCCCGCAGATCACATAACCTCGGACGCCCCGCCCCTGCCGCCGACGACGACCGCGCTCGCGACGCGCCCGCCCGCCGCGCGCGCGACGGGCATTGTACCGCGGCCGACGGGGGGCGACGGGCTCGGCGCGGGCGGCGGGGACGGCGCTGACGAGGACGCTGACGAGGACCAGGAGGTTGTTTATGAGTCATTCAACACGTTCTCCCCGAGGCGAGGCCACAAGATCAAGTTCACATGCCGCCGCTGCGGCGCGACGTCGATCCGGCCGGTCAACATACACGCGTGGCGCGAGGTGGGCTCACGTCACGCAATGGGGGCCACGGCGGTGGTGGCAGCTTCCTTGCTGGCCGCTCTGAGAATTCTGAGCTGTGAATGTTTTTCTTTCGCTTGTTCTGGGGTGCTCCAGTTTCGGCCGTTGTCGCTGTGTGAAGCGATGCGCTCCAGATCGATGCACCTCATGCACCGCCGGCCGACGCGGTGCCCGCCCTGCGCAGCCCGCCGGGCCCTGCCGACACTCCCAGCCCTCCCACCGACGCGGCGGCCCCCGCG